GGCAGATCCCTCGTTGTGGGAACTGACCTGTGCATTGGAAGGTGTTTGGAGGCATCCCTGACCTCAGCCCACTAAATACCAATAGCGGCTCCCTGGATGTGACAACCAAACATGTCTGCACACATTGTCAAACGCCCCCCTGGGAGCCAACGTTGATGCTGTGGAGAAGCACAGCTGCAACACTCAGATAACATTAATGTTCCCATCAAGAGCACAGTGAGGATTAGGAAGGTGTCTGTTCGACTCTTCTCACAGCATCGGTGCACAGTGAATGGCATCGGCTTGTAGTGTTGGTAATTACTGTGACAGTAACCGTTTCCCCACCGCTGGGTGCTACAGAGGATGCCTGAGAGCGCAGGCTGGCTCCACAGGAGGCTACTCCCAGCTCTAGGAGCCTTGGTTTGATGGTTTGGCCAAGCACCCAGCAGGGACCCTGTGTCTCTGGTGCTTAGAAATGGAATTGGTTCTTGGGTCTTCCCAATGGATGCCTCCTGCCTTCACCTGCCTCTGCCCCTGCTTGCTTACTCCTGGGTATGTGTGGCACAACTGTCCTCCCAAAAGATGGAGAGCTGACGCAGAGCCAGCCAAGTCCTTCAAGCTGCTCCTCACTGGGGTAGAGGTAGACCCAGTCACCTTTAGAACTGCCAACCTGCAAAGTCACTGGATAACCAGCCCCTCGCAGAGGAGTTTTTCACAGTCCCAAGGTGACATCTGGCATAGAGTCTCCACTTCTTCCTGCTTTGCTGTGTTTCAGTGTGAGCAGAAGCCTTACCTTCCCCCACCCCAAACAACCTGCATGAAACCCTAGCCCTTGCTTATAACCAGGATCTCCTGAGGACTCTGACATCCAAGGCCAGTACTGAAAATTTCCGGTCTTCCCCAAAGCTGCTGGCTGTGGGGCTGAGCAACGCCCCCTCCCCAACACACACACACACACTCACACACACACACTCTGTGCCATGCACTAGGTTCCATCAACAAAGGCCAGTGAGAGAGGCACCCAGCTCTTCTGCAGGAACACTGGCTGGTCCCCAGAGGCCCTAAAGGGTCAGCACCCTCCACAGCCAGTGGCAGTCCTCACTCTCCAGGACAGTGTGTCACATTCCCTCTCTGCGCCTCGCTTCCCTTGTTTTTAGATGTATATGCTATGGGGGTCCCACCTCATTGGGTTGTGTGGTCTTTAATGCTGTGACATACAGAAAGTTCTCAGAACTGTCCCCCACACAGAAAGTCCTAGGTGCATATTTGGTATCTGCCACAGCCTCATCCATATCCCCAAAACCAAGTTGCAGGGCTCCTGTTCTCGTCACAGCTTTCAAGGCAAGCCCTTCCAGTCACCAGGGGCTGGCCAGGATGTCTAACCCCAGAGACCAGGCTTCCAGGGCACCCCACTGTCGGGATGCCCTTCAGCATCACCCTCCTCCAGTTTTCCATGTGCGGGCCCCCAGGGTCTTCCTGCCCATCTGCCTCTAAGAATTTCCTTCCCTGCTTCTTCTTTCGTTTCTTGGCTACACATGTTTTCCAGCTGTGGGAAATGAAAAGAAAGGCCAGCTGTGGGCTAGGCGTGGTAAGATGCAGATGATGCAGGAGAGGAGCTGCTGCAGGGAAGCAGCCCCCACATTTGTAATGCTGTAACAAAGTGCTTGAGACTGGGCCGTTTGTCAAGAACAGAAATTGGTTTCCTCACAGTTGTGGAAGATGGAAAGTTCGAGATCCAAGTGCCAACAGGTTCAGGGTTGTGAGGGATGCTCTCTGCTGCCAAGGTGGTGCCCTGTTGCTTAGTGTGCCAGAAGGTGGGTGGGAAAGAAAAGAAAGTGTTCCAGCTCCAGAAGACAGAACATTGGTCTTCCTCTGCCTTTTGGTTCTATCCGGGCCTTCAGCAGATTGGATGATGCCCACCCAGACTGGATCTTCCTTCTTGATCCACAGGTTCAATTGTCAATCTATTCCAGAAATGCCCTCACAGACACACCCAGAAACAATGCATTACCAGTTATCTGGGTATCCCCTGATCCAGTCAAGTTGACATATAAAATTAACCATTGCACTCCCTGCTGCCCTCTGCCTAACCTCCTGCACCTCAGACAGGAACTGAGAACCCAGAAGCAGAGTCTTAAGCCTTCAGAGGAGAAAGCCCTGCCTCTCATTTTGCCTCACTTACTTGGGTTCAGATTTCAGGTAAGCGTGTGTCGAAAGGCTCAGCAGGACGCTGGAGAATCGGTACCCACGAAGGCCTGGCTTCAGCAGGACCATGAGGGACAGGAAATGAGGTAGTAGCAGAGTGTTAGATACTGCGTCTGCCTCTCCAGAGAAATAGAACCAATAGGCTGTGTGTGTCTGCATGTGTGGAGAGAGAGGGAGGAGGGGAGGAAGAGAGAGGGAGAGAGAGAAGGAAAGAGAGAGAGAAAGAGAGAGAGAGAGATTGGAAAAGGAATTGGCTCATTGGCTCACATTCTGCAAGCCTCATATTTGCAAGGCAGGCCAGCGAGAAGTAATTCTATAAGAGTTGATGTTACAGCCTGGAAGTGGAATTCCTTCCTTTGGGGGGGATCTTCAATCTCTCCTCTTAAGACCTTCAATTGATTGGGTAAGGCCCACCACATTTTGGAAGGCAGTCTGCATTACTCAAAGTCTACTGATTCAAATGCTAATCGCATCTAAAAATTACCTGTATAATAACATCTGGACCATGTCTGGCCAAACTGTGCCACAGCCCAGCCACATTGACACACAATATGAATCACTGCAGATGTCTAAGACCAGCGTCTCCCACTGTGCATGAGATGGTTTTAAGTGAGGCAGGAGCAGAGCATCAAATAACACTGATCATAGGATGATTCTTTTTCTTTACTTTTTTTTTTTCCATCCTAGGGATTGAACCCAGGGCCTTGCATGTGTGAGGCAAGTACTCTATGTCTTGAGCCATGCCCCAGCCCCAGAGGGATTCTTTTAAATTCATTTTAATCCTGATTACTTAAGGAGAAAGATTCCGTTTGAAATGAGCCCCTAACACCTCTCTAACACTTGTTAGTTGTAACAAAAGAAAATAGGACCAGAATAGGGCCAGCTAGAAGTGAATTATTTTGGTTTCATGAGATTTACTTTTTTATTTTACTAGCATATAATAGTGTACAGGGGGATACATTGTGTATTTGCATATGTGCTTACAATATATCATAGTTAGATTTACCTCCTCCATCATTCTCCCTCTTCCCCTCGCCCCCGTTCTTAGAACAATTTCAACAGGTTTCATTCTTCTATTTTCATATCTGAATACAAAATACATCCACCATGTTCCTCCTCATTCACCCTTCCCTTATGCCAACCCCATCCCATTGGTACCCAACCCCCCAAAAAAAGACCTATTTTACCCTCTTGCCCTTCATTTTTTTAAGCATACTGATGGTCCCAAGGGGTTTTACAGTGACTTCCTATTCATGCAAAGCGACACTTATGTCCATTTATGACAGTGCTATAACTTTCCTTCTTAGATAGATAAATTTAAATAAAACACAACAAGCCTTCTTAAAATTAAGTAAATCATAGTGAGAAGTGGTCCTTTGATATGGCTACACTCAAGAAGGTGGCAAGGAAATGATCCAAGTTTGGAAGGCACCAGCTCAGCCAAGAAAAGTCAGGGCTTGCAGGCCAGGAAGATGCTCCCTGTGACCAGCCAGGGAACATGCAGGTTTGGGTTGATGAAGAAATCTGTTTTCCTTGTGAAAAAGGCAAGAAAAAGATCACAGCATCCCCTGGGTTTGCTAGTGCTGTGAAGAGGAAGGTAGAACCCTGTCCCCAGGGCATAGGGCTCAGTGCATGGATACTGGAGCCAAACTCCCCAGGCTCAAATTCTGACTCTGCCACTGATGTGTTTATGGCTGTGTGACCTTGAAAAGTTATGGAACCTCCATGGGCCTCCATTTCCTCATCTGTAAAATGGGTTTGCCAAGGTCCCCACTTTAGGGGTGCCACGTGAGAGTGAGTTGCTGACTCGTCAGTCATCAGGAGGAGGAAAGAGTTGATTCCAAGATGGCACCCAGGAGCCTCTATGAGGAAAGCACAGGTTGCTGACTGGGTTGGGATGAGGGTGGCTCTTGGATGGTTGTCTGGAGGCGTTGACACGAAAGCAGATGGCTGTATGATCACTAAGAGTCACCTGGAGAACAGGAGGGGCATGCATTCTAGGCAGGGTGAACAGCATACATGTGGCTCAGAGGCAAGAGAGAGTACAGTCCGTTTTTGGTACTGCGAGTAAGCAGTATTGGCCATGCAGAATATAACAGGCCACTAGGTAGGGGAAGTGGCTAACCAGAGCCAGGCACAATGGGCTCCCTATGCCTTAGATACCTGTGTTCCAACTGGGTATGATGGCTCACACCTATAATCTCAGCTACTGGGGAGCTAGAGATTGGGAGGATTGCAGTTTAAGAACAGCCTGAGCAAAAAATTAACAAGACCCCATCTCAACAAACAAGCTGGGTGTGGTCACATGCACCTCTCCTCCCAGCCATGAGGGAGGCATCGGAGGATCACCGTCCAGGCTGGCCCAGGCAAACACACAAGACTATATTGGAAGAATAACTACAGCAGAAAAGAATAGGGTGTGGCTTAAGCCCCAAGCGAGCATGAGGCTTTGATTTTAAACCTCAGTCCTACCAAGGAAGAAAAGAAGGAAAGAAGGGAGGGAGGGAAAGAGGGAGAGAGGGAAAGAGGGAGGGAGGGAAGGAAGGAAGGAAGGAGCGAGCACCTGGTTTCCAGAGAAGCAAAGCTGCCATGATTCACAGCACCATCTGCTTAAAACAGCACCTCAGATCTGCTAAGCCCTCCATAGTCACGTGACGGACAAGTGCTTTTCTCTCTGCCTGATGTGGGACCTGTGGATCCCATGGGTTGGTTTCAGTTAATGAGGAGCCCATGGGTCAGAATGTATGCAGAGATCTGGTACCATTCTGTGCAGGCATTGTCTGCTGGAGGACCTAAAATCTCGCTTCTGTCCACAGGTGACCTGGTGTCCCGCGCGATGCATCACCTGCAGCCTCTCAATGTCAAGCACCACGGCAATGGCACTCCCCTGCACCACAAGCAGGGGGCGCTCTACTGGGAGCCGGAGGCCCTGTACACCCTCTGCTACTTCATGCACTGCCCACAGATGGAGTGGGAGAACCCCAATGTGGAGCCTTCCAAAGTCAGCCTGCAGGTGGAAAGGTAGGACTTGCCTGGCCTTGGGGTTTTACAGCAGCTCTCCTGCCCAGCATTGCCTTGTAGTGGGCGGGCACTGCCCCAGGGTGGGGTGAGGGCCAGAGACAGGAGGGAGACTGAGGGGAAGGACTGCCCACTTCCCTAAACTTGCTGGAGGGGTCCAGATAGACACCTTGCGCTCCGAGGGGCATCTTAGAGCCAGGTGGGGTCTTTGAGATGGGTTTCTATGAGACTGGCCCAGTTCAGCATGAAGGTGGTGAATTCCAGAGCGGAAAGGGCCTCCGGGGTACAGCACAGCATCCTTGGGAAGCAGCTCTGCAGATGCCACCTCCCTGGATGGAACTTGTCTCCATCTTCCTTCCTTCATGGCTGCTTCAGCTCCCAAGGGGACCAGAAGCACCTGCTCAGCCAGAAAGTGGCCTCTCAGGTGGGTGGGAGACCTGGCCACTCTGGGAGAGGCCACTTAGCTGTCCCTGTGCTGTGGAATCATGGCGTCCTTGTGGGAAGGAGGGGACTGGGAGGGGCTGGGAAGGGGCCTGGCTTCTGCTGCCTTTAGCTGTGTGGCTCCACATCTACATGCCTCAGCTTCCCCTTCCAGAGGGCTGAGCTAAGCTGTTTCTGAGGTTTCCATCCACCTGGACATTACAGGATTCTCTGGGACCTGCTTTACCCTCACAGAAGTGAGATCAGCCTTCCTCTCTCCCTGCTTCCTTTAGCAATGGCTTCTTATATCCTTTCCCCACTGTCACAAATCAGGCCCCACCTTGGCACAGGCCTTACTTGCTCTAAGTGCTGTATTAGTGACCCCTGTTACCAGAAAGAGTGATTAGGAGAGCAGACTCTGTGATCCAGACTTCCTGGATTCAAATCCAGGTTCTGTTAACTGAAAGCTGAGAGACCTTGGGAAATTGTCTTAACCATTCTGTGCCTTATTTCCTTCTTGCAAAACAAAGATGCAAGAGTAAACCTTTTGTGGGGCAATTGGAACCTTAAACGAACTGAACAGTGCCCAGCACACATAAGCACCCAGGAAATGTCAGCTGTTATTACTGTCATTGTACCTGTTATCCACGCATAGCTGAACAACTCCCAGCTTGGGCTACATACAGCTTTCTTTTCTGTAATTTGGTTCCAACTGGTACTGGAAAGCTCCCTGGATCCTCTGTTTCTGCCATGATGAATTGGGCCTAATTGGGCTCCCTTAAAAACCCCGTCTCTTGGCTTTCAGTTAAGGAAGAGGATGGAGAGAGGCCAGACAGCGTTGGCTTCTTGCTTGCAGGAATCCCAGGTTAGCATCAGTATTCTGTACCATCTCAAGTTGGCATGTTGGGAATCGGGGGGGAGGGGGCACTCTGTGCATAGTTTCATGAGCAAACAAGCCCCACATCAGGAGGTGGGGAAATGCCCATGGTCCCTAGGGAAAAACTGGTCTCCTAGGGGTTAAGGGGATGGATACCATTGACCTTGACCTATGGGGTACCGAGTCCTTCGGCCCCCTGACAACCTGAACAGTGGTGCCATTCCTCAGAATCACCTCCCTCGTGTCACCCCCCAATTCCTGCCTCTCTGCAGGTGAACCTCCTCCATCCCCAGCAGACCCTGCCTCCCCTGAGCTCCAGAACCTTCACCTACCACTGGACCTTCCCCTCCCGGTTTCCATGACCCAGTCTCTAGCCCACAGGCTGGTTCTCGTAGCTCCTTATTCTCTTCTGCCTGGCACAGAAACTTGAACTTGCTTGTGGTTTTCTGTGTTTATGTATTCCTGTAAGCTTTGCCCGAGCACAGTACACTGGTTTGGGCCATTGTTTCACCACTAGTGCCAAGTTCACCATCGGGTGCAGAGGGAAGTCAGCAGGTATTTATTTATAGAATGAAAGAAAGGACAGATTCGTGGCTCTAAATGTCCACAAAGCATGTTGTCTAGAAGGCTTGAACTGTCTCAAGTCCTATCGACAGGACATCTGTCATTTCTCTGTCCCTTCCTGCCCTAACCACAGCTATGGCTGTGGTTCAGGCCCTCATTCTCTCTCACTGTGGTCACTGGCATTGATTTTTAAATGGTGTCTCTGCAAGTGAGGCTCAATATCCTCCTCACAACCTCCACACTGAAACTTCTAAGACGTAACTGTCAGGATGTGACATGTCCCCTGCCTCGCTGCATGGCTTCCACCTTACTGTGGGCTTCTCAGTGGCCATTTTCCCTTCTTGAACCTATTCCTGGATCCAGAGTGTGGGTGGAGCAGTTGGAAGTGTGAGGTGACCTCCGCAGAGTCCAGAGCTTCTAGGATATGTCTGACCTATGTGGCATGAGCCACAAAGGCGATCGATGCGAACATGGCCCAGAATTTGTCATTTGTCTCCTTCTTGCCATTCCTCCTTGGTTCAATTTTCAAAGCACAGAGCAGAAGTTAACATTTTTTTGAGTTCTGTTCACTTTCATCTTCGGGAAAGTGTGTTTTTTGGGGAGTCAGGCCGACCTGAGCTTGGCTTCTCATAACTCCAGGAACTTGAACGACTGATCTCACCTCTTTTTGTCATCTGTAAAATGGGAAAAGCCCATCCTTCATGGGACTGACATAAGCAATGAATCAGATGCACACCTGAGACATCCAGGGCTATACTGAGCACAAGGGGGACCTCCCTTCCCCCCAGAAAAATATAGCTGGTGGTATTAGGCATCTTTTTCTTTTCTTCTTGGCTCTAAAATGCCATTGTCCCCACAGAAGCCGGTGTGTGATTCTCTCTAGAGGAGTATCTGTTCTTCCTGCTACCTAGTGGAGTAGGATTTGGGGTTTAGCATCTGAAGACACAGGGAAGAACTTCTGAGAACTCCTCTAACTATTTTCAGTCAAGCGTCTACACCAGCTTAGGACTTTACTTTGGAATTATTCCCAGAATAAACAGTACCTCCTTGGCTCTCTGTTCTGAGAAGTCAAGAGGGACCAAGAAGTCTTGAAGGCCATAGCTCTTCAAGAATGGGACTGGTGCTCCTTGTTTCTGCCCATTTGGTTCAAATCTGGATTCTTTCATGCCTCGCGCCATCTCTGCTTGTCCGAGAGCCTTTGCTGACAGGTGCTTGGAGGGGGCCTGTCTCTCTCGGGACACTGAGCTGCAGTTGTTGCGTTGTTCTGAGTAGTTCCATGTTTCATTGTGGTAGTTTTGAGGAACCTCAGTGCCAGTGTGGAATGTCTGCAGTCTAAGTTTTTCCAGAGTGTTGGCATCTATTTCTTGAGCTTTTAAAACCTGTAAGGCACTACAGATTTTTTTTTTTTTGGTGCAACCGGGGTTTGAACTCAGAGCTTCACACTTGCAAAGCAGGTGCTCAACTGCTTAAGCCACAGCTCCAGTCCATTTTGCTCTGGTTATTTTGGAAATGGGGTCTTGCAAGTTATTTTCCTGGACTGGCCTCGAACCATGATTCTCCTGACCTCAACCTCCCAAGTAGCTAGGTTTATAGGCGTGAGCCACTGGCACCCTATACTACAGATATTTTAATTTTAAAAAATTTAGGTAAAGTTTGTAAGATTTGTGATTAAGCTATCTATTTTCCAAATAGTAAGGATAAATGTAAATATCTTAATGTTGATGATAGTCTACTGTCTTATTCTATTTTATTTTTGGTGGTTCTGGGATTTGAACTCAGGGCCTGGTGCTTACTAGGCAGGTTCTCTGTCACTTAAGTATACCCTCAGCCCTTTTTGCTTTAGCTATCTTTTAGACAGGGTCTCAAACTTTTTGCTGTGGCCAGCATTGGACCACTGCCTCCTTCTATCTCTGCCTCCTTCATAGCTGGGATTGCAGGCATGCACCATGGTGCTTAGCTTGTTCTTTGAGATGGGAGTCTTGATAACTTTTTGCCAAGCTGACCTTGAACTGTGACCCCCCCCTCCATGTCTGACAGGGATTACAGGCTGAGTGACCATGCCAGCTTTGACTACTATTTTTAAAATAGAATCATCTTCAGTCTGGGACAAAGTTTTCCTCTCTTCTGTCATTATCATTATTGGAAACATCAGTAATTCACAAATGAATGATTTCAGTAATTTGTTGCCACTAGGTGGGAAAATAGTGAAAGCAGGAGAGTTTTGTCACTTTAGGCAGCTGATAACATCTGGGGAGCAGGGAGCAGCTTCACTCCGAGACTAGACAAGTAATCCTGCCATTCCCCATCTCACCAAAAACAACCCAGAATTCATACCCGGGCAGTAACCGCACTTACCCCTCCTGTAAGCAGGATGTTCAAATAGGTGTGACCAAGTGTCTGCTGGGGAATCCCAGCCACAAGCACGAGCAGGCGATCCATCACCAATGGCCAACTATTGGAGGAAAATTAGTGGTGTGAAACCACAGGTCTTAAGAAGAATTTATTCTCGAAGAAACAGCTTTCATAAAGCAATGAGAAGCAGAGATTCAAAGTCAATGCCATCAAGAATGTCTCCCAGGACACTCACTTTGCCAGAAGGCCACCCCAGCGCATCACTTCTTAACAAGTTTCCATCTGTGACAAGGGAGAGTCACATCTCCCCCATGGTTATGCACCAGGCCCAAATGCTGGGGATAACCTCCCTGTCCTTTCCCACTAAGGACCGTGTGGCCAAACACAAGTGGAGGAGATGCTCTCGGCACAAGGAGCTCCTCCAGGTGGGAAGCTGAGCTACAAACACGGCCCCACCGTGGCTGCTTAGAGCAGAAGGGAAGCTTCTGGAAGGCCTGGTGAGGGCAGAAGGGTCACAGGCCCTTTCTCTGCAGGAGAACTCGACCTGGGGTTGTGTCTCTGGCTTTGTCTCCTGGAAACCTGATCAAAGTTGCGGCCTTTGCTATGTTACTAGGCAACTGTGTCACCAGGTCACACTGCTGACCATCATTGAGCCCACTGGTAAACTGCACCTGGCCTGACATGTAGCAGGCCAAATAAAGACCTGGAGCTTTGGGCTTCCCTGAAGTCAGTGACCCTTAGAACTGGTCGTGTCCTCTAGGGGACCTTGGAGCTTACTCTATGGGGCTGT